GACTATCAGATCTAAGACATTAGATTAACATCTAGCTCAGGCTGCCATTAATTTTTTTATGAAAAAGAAGAGTTTAGAACATAATGAATTGTCAGATTGTCATCCTATAACTTTTAATAGTTGAGGGACTCAACAAAGTACATCCTAGAGTTAGGACCATTTTATAACTTTTAATAATCGATGAACTTAATAAAGTAGTGTCCTATAATCGGGTATCATTTGAATACTTTACCCTTTAGTTTTTAAAAGTTTAAAAATCAATCTCGAATAATCTAAAGAAATAAAAACATGAACCGAAACGGCTGAGCTGATTTCAACAAGTTAACGGCATCCATTGACTTTTAAAGCAAGCAGCTGCCAACTCCTCCTTTGCGCTTTGTTTCTTTCTCACTTAATCAAATTCAATTATTATGCAGAAGTGGTAAATATCAATTTGTTATATTTCTGAAAGTTTTATATAATTTAATTATTTTTTATAATTTTATTTATGATCTCATAAATTAAAACGGATGTTTCAAACTCATTATTTTTATAAAAAATTGACGGAAATTTGCGCCGGACATTATCCAAACGACTGAAATATTATAGTCGTTTGAGATCCTGAGTTCATATTATATCACATCTCAGTCAGTAAATTAACATCCAACTCAAAGTGCCATCAAATTTTAACAGAAAATGACGAGTTTGAAACACAATAAATAATCAGACGATCATTTTGTAACATTTAATAATCCTAGACCTAAAAAAATAACGTCTCATAGTAAAAAGATTATTTTGTAACATATTTAAATAAAAAAATATAAAAAAAAATTTAAAATTTAAAATTTTAGAGGAGATAACTATCCCATCGACCTCGTCTTGTCCTTCCCTGCCAAAACAGCTGAGCTGATTTGCACAAGGTAATATATCGTCTCTATTTAAATAAGCAGGTTAATTAGCTCATCTGCCAACACATACTTTGTTTTCTATTTCTCACTTAATTAATCAAATTCGAATTTGAGTTCAATTGTTTCACTGCTATTGTAAATGGGTTCATAATAAGTGGGTATTGATTTAAAAAAAATATTTTTTTATGTTAAATGATTGTTTAATTTAGGGTGTTTACGTTGAAATTTTATGTATATTTATTATATACGAATTTTATTTATTTTAATATATATATATATGATCACTCTAAAAAATATTTTTAAAATTTTAAATAATCATTATATGGCATGATGATCACTTTTATCATTGTAGTAGACACAATTTATTATTTTCACCCTATGGTATTTTCTCATAAATTTAACCTCGAAATTATTTAATTGCATCATCATATATTTTACATCATAATTTAAAACCCTAAATCATCAATCATAAAACATAAATCCTAAAACATAAATCTTAAACTCTAACTTAAAACCTTAAACAATAATACATATTTTAAACGTTGATATAATTAAACAATTTAAAAAGTGAAATTAATACGAATATATCATAAGGATGATGATAATAAATTATATTTACTATAGGACAAAAGTGATCTCTCAGCCTTATTATAGGCTAGCAGACATTGTATTCATTATATTTTAAGTGAAGTTTCATTGACAACCACAAATTTTGGGATGAGTATGGGTCGGGTTTCGGTTAATCTGACCTGATTCGAAAATTTTACATTCTTTATCTGACTCGACTCGATCAAAAAAATATATATCCTCCACTCGACTCGATCCGACCTGAAAATATATACCCTCCACCCGACCCGAATACGACTTAATTTTTCGAGATAAATCCGAACCCGATTTGACCCTATTCGAAATAATAAAAAATATTATTTTTATTCAATAAAATAGTGATTTAATTGAAAAAATAATATATATAGGGGTATTATTGTAATTATTCCTAAATATATACATAAAATTATATTTTTTGGGTCGGGTGTTTTTCACCCTAAACCCGAATCCGATCCGCCCCGAACATCACCTTTAAAAAAACCGATCCGACCTGACCCGAAACTAATTTAAAAAAAAGCCCGACTCGATCGGGTCTGGTTCGGGTCCCATGCCCATCCCTACACAAATCCCTATTATTTTGGGTAAACTATGCGGATAGTCTCTTATGTTTAAGGTTTGATTATTTTGGTCACAAATTTAAAAATTAAGGGGAAATAGTCCCTAACATTATTGATTCGTTCAATTTTAGTCCATTAACCATTAATTTTCGTTAACCCCTTTTGTTTAAATCCCTAACATGACCGATGGACTAAAATCAAACGGCAGTTAATGGCTGAAGGACTAAAATCGAATGGATCGATAATGTTAAGGACCATTCCCCCTTAATTTTTAAATTGATGACCACGTTGGTCAGATCAAAAACATAGGAGACTATTTGCATATTTTACCCATTATATTTTTTATCTAAAAAATATATTGTTAACTTCCTACTAATTTCCAGTGGAGTTCTTAAAATTTCAGTAGAATATTATGTTGAGAGGCGAGACTTAGGTAAATAGAACGAAATTCTTTATTCATTCACAGTATGAAATAAACAGGAAATGACCATCCAGCTCAGTTGGTAGAACACAAGGTTCTTAATCTTGAGGTCGTGGGATCGAGTCTCACGGAGGACATTTTATAATTCGGATGTCTCTTACGAAAGTTACTTTCAACTTGGTGTTGGGAACAGCCTACTATCTTATCTCCTTCTACCCCATACATATGGGAAAAAGGGACAACCATTAGTATAAAACAAACAGAATAACAAATCTAACTGCCTACCAACTAACTCCTAACATCCTCAACATATTACCCATGAACTTCGTATGGTTTTATTATTATTATTATTATTATTATTATTATATTGGTGTAGTCCAACTCATTTCATAAGTTGACCAGCTTCATTTGTTAAATGATTATTAATAATAATTTTAATAATATTCATGATTTTATTCAACATGTACCAAAAAAACAAACAAACAGTCCTTTTTCCCACGAAAATGAAGGGGAAATTAATAAAAACAAGGACGTGTTTGAACAATTAATTAATAAAGGGGGCGTAATAAACATGTACGGATACGCAACGTTCTGTGAAGAATTTAATAACAAATTAATCATAAAAATATTGGTGTGAGATCGTGCAGAAATCATGGGGACATTGCATCTTAAATTGATGGACGATTTTGTCAATTTATGGAAGGAGTCACCCGTGATGATAAATTCAGCTAAATTCTTTTGGGTAAAATCCATAAATGGTCTCCCAACTATATGATACTATTTTATTAAGTCATTCGACTATTAAAAGTTACAAAATGATCCTTTGACTACAGAGTGTTGCTTTGTTGAGTCTCTCGACTATTAAAGTTACAAAATGGTCACCCAACTATTCATTATATTCCGAACTTGACATTTTTCGCTAAAAACTGGACGGTATTTTGAGCTGAACGTTAATCTGTTGAATGTGATATGATAAAACTCGATCCCAGAATCTAAAACGACTATCATATCTTAGTCATCAAGTTAACCTCCAACTTAAACAACCGTCATTTTTTAACGAAAAAAGACGAGTTTGGAACATAATGAATATTCATGTGACCATTTTGTAACTTTGAATAGTTGAGGGACTTAAATAGTACAATATCCTATAGTTGGGAGATCATTGGTGTACTTTACCCTTTTTTATGAATATTATTGTTTTGTGATCGGAATTATTTTTCTAGTTTAATTCGGAAAGTTTATAGTGTAACGGGTTGAAAAAGAATAAAATAGTGAGAAAATAGGGGACATATTGCAGGGTGTGCTTAAAATGTACTTAAAGTTTTAAGTAAAATACATAAATGACCCCTGATTATAGGGTATTGATTTATTAAGTACTTCAACTATTAAAAGTTATAAAAATGATCCCCCGACTATGAGCCACTATTTTTAAGTCCCCTAACTATTAAAAGTTTTAAAATGGTCACCTGACAATTCATTGTGTTCCAGACTCGTCATTTTCCGTTAAAAAATGATGGCAACTTGAGTTGGATGTTAATCCGTTGATTGAAATATGATATAATATGATCCCATAATCTTAACAATTATCATATTTCAGTCAACATGTTAACGTCTAGATCAAACTACCATCAAAATTTTAACGAAAAAGGCGAGTTTGGAACACAATGAATAGTCTGGTGACCATTTTATAATTTTTAATAGTCGGAGACTTAAAAAAATAGCATCCTATAGTTAAATGATCATTTTGTAACTTTAATAGTCGGATGACTAAATAAAGCAATAATCTATAGTCGAGGGATCGTTTGTGTACTTTACCCTAAAGTTTTTCAAAGGATCGCGTGAGAGAAAAATGAAATCTATACGAATTAATTAATAGGGTGAACAAAACTCGACTCGACTCAAAACTCATTTCTTTTTCAATTTCGAGTTATTCGAGTCAACTCAAATTATCAATTCGGCTTTCGGATTCGAGTCGAGTTCAAATTTGAAATTCCGAGTTACTCAAAAAATTAAAAATTTGACTATTTATTTTGATAGTTTTACGATTTAGTCCCTGATTTCCACTATTCCATTCAATTCCTCCTCCATTTTAAGCCTATAATACGTGCATTGTAATTAATGTGATTTTTGGGATCTCTTTTAAAACTTGTTTGTCGACTCTTCAAACATTAGAGTGTGCCCATACATCGAAGACGTTCATGGTTCCGATATTGAATTCTATACTAACATTCTATTTAGCAATTAAATAATATGATTAAAATTTGCACCTCAAATTTAGCTTTATTTGATGAAAAATAGTAACATGCATTTAGTGGTTAAATTAGTTTTATTATTTTTTTGTTATAATAGCCATTTTAAGAATATTTCGAACTTGGAATAGTGTATATATATAAACCATTGTTTCATTCTCCTGGTAGAAATTCGACAGGGACAAATCATTGTTCCATTGTCTCATTAGGGCAAGGATCTTTGTTAAGTTTTCGGGCTAAAGTATATACATCGAGGGTTATTTTCTTTTGTCTCTGTGAAATGGGAGAGACAACAACACCGTCATTCACCTCCATCTTTAGCAGGGACAAAAAGAAGGCTCTCGATAACGAAAGAGCCGGCACGCCATCGCGGAAGGGGATGAGACGTTCGGCTTCCGTCGGTATTTTCAAGGCAGCTCTAGGCATGTTGCGTACGAAATCCGTCGGCGATTTGACGGTATCGGACTCGAAGCCGGATCCGGTCGATGTGGATTCTAAGGTTGGGCAGAAAGGAGGGGATGTAGGGTCAGAGAGTCCCGTGCAACCACAAAGCTCTCAATTGTCACCTCCCCGTCCCCCTCCTGAAAAGGTTATACTTGAGATCGTGCCCGAGCCTATATCCGGGGAGGAACGTAAAGAGGAAGCAAAGGCAGCGTCTTTGTCTCCGATCGTGCTGGCGAGCGACGTGATCCGAAACGAATCGCCTCGCGAAGGAATCGCCAAAGAGAAATGCGGGCATCACGGCGATCATGAAGGTGGCGATGAGAAGATCGATATCAAGGCCGAAGAATTCATAGCTCAATTCTATGAGCAAATGAGGCTTCAAGCCTCCAATTCTTGAATCGTGGAGATGTACCAAAGATGAAAAACAAAAATTATTACCGGACGTATTGGTTTGCATGCATGCATGCACGTTTTTGAGGGCTATGTTTTCTGTATTTTATTTATTTATTTTTATTCTTCGTGGATGGGAATGTATTATTTTTCTTTTTACAAAAAGGACCAAGTTTTCCTAGCTGAGCTCAAGGGTATATTTGGTTAAATCATATTAAGAAGGAAAGGACCAAGTTTTACTACTCGAATATTAATATGAATAAATTTCTATCACAGAGAATAATGAAGATTCCTCCATATGGATGTTTTCTTCCCCGTGCTTATATTGCATATAGTGCTGAACTGTGAAATCTATGAATGATCAACAACTGTAAGAATTGTTACATTTTCCCAATAAGGACAAAGCATCCTTGAGACGATGACAAGTGATCGATTAGATTATAATTTGATGCTTAGAGCCTTCATCTATCCACTAAAAAAATCATATGGATGACACCGAATAAGAACCTTTGCATATAAACAACTAGAGCCTCTGCATCGATAAACAACTGTGCTTAGTTGAATTCCTTGTTACTTAAGAAATATAATCTTCGTATAGCATTCAAAGCCGACAAAATCAAATAAATAAAAGACTAGAACCTATATACATATATTCTGAACTTCCAAGAGGAATATTAAAAGGGTTTCAAGAAAATCAATCTCTAGGTCAAATTATTAGGTTTCAATCAAGTACCAAAGACATACAATGGTTTCAAGTAGGAATGCCAAAGATGTTCATTGACTAAGCCAAAGATTTGCAGGTTCTAAAGACAGGCAACAGCTAAACCAACATCTAAATTTACTAAAGATGACAGTTGCTCACAATAGCCTTCAATTAGGAATTTACCTTCCATGATCAGGCATTTCCCATTCTTGTGTCAGTTAAGTTTTCAAATCAAATAAATTTGATAACTTGCAATAAGGCCAACTACACTTGAACTTCCGTGCTACTGCAGATTTAAATTCTGACACAAAGGAAACCAAGATGGATGTACCTATGTTTCCTTCAAGGCTTCCTTCTGTCCTGGGAATAGGTGTTTAGAAAGAAATTCTAACAGCTTCTTAATACTAATTTGTTTTCCTATAAAAAAAATACTAATTTGTTTGAAATGTACTATAACTTTATACAACTGCTTCACGGATCAGGTAGAATATATCTTTTACAAATATGACATGGGATTTTGTACGACTAAACAGGAGGATGACAAACCAATCACCAAAAATGAACTTACCATGTAAAAGATGATGGTCAAGAACAAGCCTGATGCTCCTGCAGTGATGCACATATAACTCAATGTGTAGAGTGGTTTGGAGAAAGGAATGCCTGTTACACCAACCAGAGATCAATTTGAAAAAATAAATTGGAACTCCAAGAAAATCATATGCCGACTGGAGTTTAATAAGAGAATTATAATCTTGGACTAGATTGTTATTAGAGACAATTTACCTAGCACTTGTAAACCAAATCCAGAAATTAGTAACGTAAACGAAGACATGGACCACAAAACCACTCTATGCATCTCCCCCTGCACAAAATATGTTTAGAGCACATTCACCAACATATGCATGCAATGCCAGTATCCTTAGCATAACCCTTTCTTTTCCTCATTGGCAAGTGAAGTTCATAATGAGATTAGTCCATTGACACAGAAATAAGAATGGTACCTCATAATGCAGACGTATATGTCCAAAATGCAATCCCACAAGACATGTGAGGACAGCCATTAATGAACCGAAGAAATTCTAAGAGGGAAGTTACAAGTACAATACCGAGCAATAGGAGTGGCATATTTGGTGTTTAAATGCCTTTAGTTGTGTGTGCACAAGCGAAAGAAAATATTATAATAAGAAGTCTTTACAAGTTTAATGATCACAATTAACAGTTGTAGTGAAAAGCTAGGAACATGATAAAGAAGGTCATTATCTAATCTTAAGATGCCCTCGGGGTCAAAAGGAGCAAGGCACCATTCAGGTGACTGTGGTGGCAAAGGCACCACAGTCAGGAGAATTAACACTGCACTCCTGTGAATGAAAATGGGTGCATGTCCTATTAAGATCTTAAAAGTGGGCGTTTCGAAAGGCATCACCATATCTACAACACAAAAGAAAATAGTTGAATAATCTTTGTTCTTCTGTACACTGGACGTTTATATAGATGTTGTTCGCCCAGAAAATACTGATCAATATAGCCAACTGCATTGCATGGAGGTTCAAGGCTTCCTCTTACTCCACAGCGCACCTATTAAAAAAAGATCATAACCTCCTTGGTGCGAGAACAAACTAGAATTCAAGCCGGATAGCAGATCATTTGCTTCTGATATAAATATAGACAAGATTAAAACAGAATACATCCAAATTTATTGATTTTCTTATTCCCAAAAGCTATAGTTTCAGACTACAATATCAAATCTAACGGTACAATTCTCAAATCATATATTTATGTTATCATGAAGTAAATAGTCATTTGTTTTCTCAATAAAAGACAAACAAACTGAAATACAACCCAGAAGCCTTTGGCTACTAGGACTGTATGACAAGCCTACCAGATATGCTCAAAACTTGTGCTGAAAAAATTAAGTTCAATTAGTTGCTTAAATCCATAGCCCCTGAAATAAGAATATAGAAGGCTTTTGGTCAATCCTTTTTCTTATTTATTTAATTTGATTGTTTTGTAGTTTGTGGCAGCTTGGGCACTCACAAATATTGCTTCAGGCACATCCGAAAATACCAGAGTTGTGATTGATAATGGAGCTGTACCTATATTTGTTAAACTCCTTGGCTCTCCTGCGGATGATGTACGTGAACAGATAAGAACTGCAGTTTGCAAGTGTTCTTCTATTCGTTAATACAGTTTCTTTACAATTCCCGTACGCTTTATCATTCTTTTGGCATTACAGGCTGTTTGGGCATTAGGAAATGTTGCTGGAGACTCTTCTAAATGCCGTGATTTGGTTCTTAGCCATGGGACCCTGGTGCCTTTGTTGGCACAATTTAATGAGCATGCAAAGCTCTCTATGTTGCGAAATGCAAACTTTTGCAGGGGAAAGCCACAACCTTCGTTTGATCAGGTTGGACTTTCTGGTAATATGAATTGTGGGACTTGTTATGACTCTTTTGCTGTTGACGGTTTTTGCTAATTCGTGGTGCTTTTGAATGTAAATTTGCAGACAAAGCCTGCTTTGCCAACTCTTGAGCGGCTTATCCATTCAAATGACGAGGAAGTCCTTACAGATACATGTTGGGCTCTGTCATATCTCTCGGACGGTACTAATGACAAAATCCAAGCTGTTATTGAGACTGGTGTCTGCCCTCGACTGGTTGAGCTCCTGCTGTAAGTGATGAACTTCTTTCCATTTTGAAACTGATTTATTTGTTTTCCTTATGTTTATTTCTCTCACTCATCCCCATCTTGTTGTTAGTCATCCATCCCCGACAGTCATCATTCCTGCTCTTCGCACAGTTGGAAATATTGTTACAGGGGATGATATGCAGACTCAGGTATGGAGTTCATGACATTTATTACTTTCTCAACAGTTATTTGAATTGTGTTCCTTTGAGATATCATTTGTAATTATCCTTGTTCTTATACACAACTTATTATATTGTATTTTGACTTGTCCTAATGCGTCTCTGTGCCTAAACCTTGTCGGGACTGTGCTTATGTTTTTTATCATTGTTATTTTGACATACTGTATCTAGACGACGATGCAAATGAATTACTCAGTTCTGCTAGACGGATGGATATATCTGACTTTTGTTCGATGAAAAGTGATATAAGTTGATGACATCGTCTGCTGTTCTTTCAAATGCAATATATTTTTTCTCTTTAGCTTGTCATTGCTTTAGGTTGCCTCTCTCTGCAGTACTCTGATTTTTTATGTTGTTGCTCAATCCGGTGCATTATTAGCCACCAAGTCCTTCCGTGCCTGTTGAATCTGCTGACAAATAACTACAAGAAGAGTATCAAGAAGGAGGACCATCTCAAACATCACTGCTGGAAATGTAGATCAGATACAGGTAAACCAATTATATAGTATGGCAACCGATTGTTTGTAATGGTCTACTGCAAAGTTTGAAAAGTAAATGTTTTTTTTTATAGAAATTGTGGCATTCTCATCCTATTTGAATGGATATCCGTTGGATCATGGTCTTTGAGAATCATTTGCAGGCTGTAACTGAGGCTGGCTAGTCATTCTTCTTCAAAATGCTGAGTTTGAGATGAAGAAAGAAGCTGCTTGGGCAATTTCAAATGCTACATCTGGTGGTACCCATGAACAGATAAAGTATATTCCCTTTGTTATAATCATTCTCTGGCTCTTCTTGGAACAATTTGCCATAAATTTATCAACTGCCTGTCTTGTTCACCAGGTTTTTCTTGAGCCAAGGTTGCATTAAGCCATTATGCAATCTTCTGAACTGTCCCGACCCAAGAATTGTCACAGTTTGTTTGGAAGGTCTTGAGAACATTTTGAAGGTTGGTGAAGCTGAAATACTTTGGTCTGATCTGAGTCCCTTGACGACTGTTGCTATTAAAGTGAGCTTTCGTTGTAACAAGTCTAGATTGTACTGTTTTGTGCTTTGCATCAGGAATCAATTGCACGCCGTGTGTGGCCCGTATTTGTAGAGCAATTCAGTCTTGCTTCTTATGGATCTCGTCTGTCCTAACTTGTTTCCGAATTCACAGGACACTTGGTCGGAGTCGAATGAAACTCAATGGTCATTATTTTCTCGAAGGAAACGAAGAGTGATTACTGGGCTGATGTTTAATCAGTGAGATTGAGGTTTGTGGTTCTTTTAAGGTAAAGTCAATAAATAGTCTCGACTATAAGATATTGTTTTATTGAATATTTCGTTTATTAAAAGTTACAAAATGATTATCTCATTATTAATTATATTTCAAATTCATCATTTTTCGTGAAAAAATAGACGGTATTATGAGTTAAACGTTAACTTACTGACTGTGATATGATAAAATATGATATCAAAATCTCAAATGACTTTCATATTCCAGTCATCATGTTAACGTCCAACTTAGACAACTGTCAATTTTTTAATGGAAAATGATGAGTTTAGAATATAATGAATAATCGAGGGCCCATTTATAACTTTTAATAGTCGAATGACTTAACAAAAGTAACATTCTATAATTGGAAGATTATTTTATAACTTTTAACAGTAGAGTGACTTTATAAAATAGTACTTATAGTTGGGGGACCATTTGTATACTTTTTCCTTCTTTTAATTTGAGATAAAGGTTGTTGAGGAATAATTAAGAAACGTAGTTTTTTTTATAATAACCGATTTTTGATTTATTAATTAATTAGTTCAAATAAAATATTATAAAATCAAAAATAATTCTATCAATCTAATTTACTACATTCGCAACGGTCGGGAATTCGAGTATAGTTGTTAACACGGTTATCTCAAACAGCACAACGTAAGTTAGTTAAATATAATAACAGTTGCAAATAACCAATAAGAGTTCAATAATGTGGCACGTGGAATGGCCAGACTGACATTTAATATGGACACTGAGAAATACAGTCACTGTTTCATATTTAATTCATTGATAAATTACACCAATTATTATCATTTAATTTTACTCATTCTCCTATTTTACTCACTTTACTTTAAATCCATTTAATTTACTCACTAAATTTAACACATCTGATTTTTTGTCACTCCGTCATTTTTTCACTAACGAAGTTATAAATTGCTTGTTATATTAATGCAAAACGATATAGTTTTAGTAAAAATTTCGTTTTTCTAAAACAAAGTTGTTAACTATTTAACTGTAGAGTGAAAAAATCAAATATATTAAGTTCAGTGAGAAAATTGAACGGATGTAAAATACAATAAGTAACATAAGAAAGAGAGTAAAATTTAGTGATGATTGATATAATTTACTCTTAATTCATTTGCATTGATCAATCCCACCAACCTCTCTACTCTGTATATTTCTCTTACTATATTAATTTATATTAATATATATATATATATATATATTGTGTGTATGTATGTATGTACGTATACGTATCTTCTTCCATATTTCCTCACTTTCTTCTTTTCTCTTTCCATGTTAACCGGAAAAAAATAGATACTGAAAAGCGGTGATGGAAGGTATTTCTACGACTGTGTACAAGGGTTTGAGAGGGCACTGGCGGAGGAGGGGCTATGTCCAGCTAAACGGTACTTCGAGAGGAGGATCCCGGCGGAGCAGGGTGGAGCTTGGCGGGTCCTCGCGGCGGAGGCGGTTCTGGAAGATCAGGGTAAAGGCAAAGCTAAGATTACAGTCGCCGAAGAAGTTCTTTGTTTGGCTACGCGATGCTTACGTGAAGATGATGCTGGGGATAGCCAACTCCAGGGCTGTTAGCGGCTTCGGCGGAGCCATGGGGGGTCATGGTATATCGGCCTTTGGGAAGCGTCCGGTTAAAGAGTATGATGAGAAGATGATCGTCGAGATCTACAAATCGTTGGTGATGGCGCAAGGTCAGCTGGTACCGAGAGAAGCAGCTGGGAAGCTCAGCTCTGCCATTGTTTGTCAACGGTGACGGGGTTTTATCATTTAATGTTGTTGTTCTTAGCTTGTGATTGAAAACCAATAAATTGTTCTTGGACTAACAAACTAATTATCTGGGACCAGAAATGGTGGGAAATCATAAAGTTTTTAATTAGTTTAATTAAGTATAATTAAGATCATGCTGCTGGGATGGCAAACCGACGAGGCGGGAGGGGCGAATACCATTCCTCGATTCTCATATCTATTTAATATTTTCATATCCATCGTTTACCTATCACTTACGACGGGTAAAATTTTTAAATTCACACTCGTTCACATGGATATATTTTCAAATTCATCTCCACACCCACTACCTAATTAGATATTCACCACTCATTTTGTATTCGTCTATACCCATCCATACCCACCAATTTGAGATAGAAAAAATAGCGGTGTTCAATTCTGAAAAAGATTATACCCTAATATTTAGTTAAATTACAAGTTGTGTCCTATAAAATATTAAGATTACATAATAATCTCTAAAATTATCCAAATTTTACATGGTGTGTAGTTAGTGTGCGGGCGAATGAGGGACAGACGGATGTGGAGCAAGTAAGGTATAAAACTCATCACCTATCTACTACCCTCAACGAGTATGACTTTTTACATCTACACCCACCAACTACCCACTAAATTTATATTCATCCCCATCCCAGTTGGAGCTAGTACGATATGAAATCCATAAAATTGTACATGTCTATCACCTGCACATGCTACTACTCGCAATACAACGATAATTTATATTGGATAAATTACTCGTTTAGTATCTAAACTATAAATTTTGATTCGTTTTTATACCTATTTTTTTAATCAAAAAGCATACTTTACATTTTAGTACCATGCCATTAAAAATTTTAGTTTTTGTTCCATTTTAGTACCCTGTTCAAAATTTAAAGTTAAATTTCGAGAAAAAAATTTGGAAGTTTAGGTATTAAAACGGATCAAAATTGATAGTTTATATTAAGCTTTTATTGGCTGATACTAAAATGAAATGAAAACTAAACATTATGTGTGATTTTGAAAATATTTAAAAGTTTAGATACTAAAATACACTAAAATTGATAGTTTAGGTACTGAATGCATAATTTAACTTTTATAATTTAAAGACCATTGGTCCATTTCTTGGGCTGCATTATTGTCTCTCGGCGCCCAAAATGAACCCGAAAGCTAATATCTAAGGCTTCTCGAAGGTAAAATCATTGAGTTTAGTTGCATTCATATTATTACGATGACAAACAAGTAGAATATATCTCTTCCTACATCCCTATATTTATTTAATAATTTTGTATTTATCGCTTATCTATTATATCCGTTTATGCAAATATATTCTCAAATTCATCTCCACACCTATTATCAAATTGGATATCCACGATTCATCCCGTACTCGTTTGTACTCGCCCGTACTCTTTAATCCGATATAGGAGAATTGACCGTCTTCAATTCTAAAAGTGTTTATACCTAGCATTTGGTTCAATTACAAGTCGTATCTTTTAAAATCTTAAGGTTTATAAAATAGTCTCTAAAATTATATTTAAATTCATAATTGTCCAAATTTTATATGGCGAGTAGTTAGTGGTCATGCAGATGTCGGGCAGGCAAATGCAGGATGGAGGGATACGGAGTAAATAAGGTCTCAAACCCATCACTTACACACCCGCTTACTTATAACTAAACTGATACTCGTCCCAATTAAAACAAGTACGATATAAAATATATAAAATTATACACATCTGTTATCCCTAATCCTATGATGTTTTATGATGCGAAAGGTGGATTAATCAAAGGACAAACAATGGTCCAACGTCGGATCCATCCATACTATAATTATCATGAAGAGTTGTGAAAACAATGGGGGAGAAGATATTGGTCACATGCATACACACCTGGTTTCGAGGGCTTTTGCCTAAACTTAAAAGGGAAATGATCACTTGCAGTTGTCTTAATATGCGGTTAAAAAATATATTATCGGTTTTGTTATTATTTAAATAACAAAATCAGTAAAAAATTATCAAAAATATTATTATTTCTACAGATTTTGTTATTTTTTCTACCGATTTTATTATTATTTGACACTTTACTGAAAAATATTAAAAAAATATTGATGTTTTACGTAAAAATAAAAATATTTAAAGTAATTTATTACCGATTTTATTATTTAAATAATAAAAATATTAATAATATTTTTTTTAATTATATATTAAGGTACCGTATCGTAAAATTTCCCTAAACTTAATGCATTGATGACATCTTAATTTAGTAGATTTCTACCATACACCAAACAAACTGTTAAATCATTACGCCTACTCATGTGTTCTTGTGCCCTACTCCTGTACTACAACCGTACATGCATGTAGCAAGTAGCAATCGCTTGCTGTTTTTTCATCATTTCAACAAATCATAGGTTTTATTTGGTGAAATTATTGTTTGAATTTTCGACTTCGAGTTTGAACATATATTATATTATATTTATTATATATTAATAAAAAAAATAATTTAACATAATTTTGATTTTTTACAAGTAAAATATATAATAATATTTAGCTATCAAAATAATTGAAGGGTATAGTTAATTTTAGGGTAAAGTACACAAAGGGTCCCCCATATGTTTTTTTTATAAGTCATCCGATTATTAAAAGCCACAAAATAGTCATCTGATTATAAGATATTGCTTTGTTGAGTCTTCGACTATTAAATGTTACAAGATGATCACTCGACTATTCATTATGTTCCAAATTTGTCATTTTTCGTTAAAATATTGACGACAATCTGGGTTGGATGTTAATCTTCTATATGAGATATGATAAAATTTGATTCCAAATGCTCGAACGACTATCATATCTCAGACAACGGATTAACATCCAGTTCAAACTATCGCCAATTTTTTAACAAAAATTACGAGTTTCGAACATAATAAAAAGTCAGGTGACTTTTGTTGTAACTTCTAATAGTCGAGGGACTCAACAAAGCAACATCCTATAGCTGAAGAACCATTTTGTAACTTTTAATAGTTAGAGGACTTAACAAAACAGTGTGCTATTGTCGGGGGACCATTTGAGTACTTAATAAGTTTTAAAATAATCATATATCATACAAATAATCACATACCACTTAACAAGTTTACTATTGTGTTTCTCGAATATTTATCTCTAATTTTAGTCTTAAATTCTATTTCTGGATAAGGTGCAAGTAGTCTTCTATACCTTGAAGATGATGTACAGAACGGTCCACCAAAAAAATTTACAGGCAAATTTGGTACCATCTGAGCTAACTTTATATTCTCGAGGTATTTGTTTTAAGTTTTAGTCTTAAAAATATGTCTATGATCTTCAACAAAATGTAGGGAGCACCCCCTAAATTTATGTACCCTGAATAAGATATAAGGAGTCCCTCGTATTTGAACAAGTCAAAAAAGGCCAATTTTGAATAAATTATATATTTAATATCTAAATTATTAGTTTTGCTCTATTTTAGTACTTAAACTTTAACATTTTTTAAAACATATCCAAACTTTAATTTTTATTTCATTTTAGTACATCACCATTAAAAACTTTAGTTTTTGTTTCATTTTAGTACACCATTCAAATTTTAACGTTAAGTTTTGAAGAAACTGAAAGTTTATGTCTAAAACGAGCCAAAACTGATAGTTCAGGTACTAAACACGCTAAGTTTTTAACAGTGAGTACTAAATGAAATGAAAACTAAACATTGGGTATGATTTTAAAAAAATTAAAAGTTTAGATACTTAAATAAATCAAAACTGATAGTTTATGTACTAAATACGTAGTTTACCCTTAAAATTTAGAACATTATGCAATTAACCCAAAGTTTTAGGGGCATAGTTGTTAGACAAAAAGATATAAGTTTGTAAATAAGACAAATGTATCTCAATCAAGAGAAGACATCCACGTATGAGCTGCTATTAATTGTTATTAATGAATTACTCACTAACGTCTAATGTCCATTTCATTGATCCCCACGTCAAATGCCATTACTCTATAATTAAAATTTGGACAAATTACATAAATAATCACTTAACTTTACTCTCTCTCTTATTTTTCTCACTGTACTTTAAATCCGTTCAATTTTCTCACTAAATTTAACACAATTAACATTTTTAGTCTCACAAGTCATTTTCTCACTAAACGACGTTATAAATGAGTTGTTATGTAGATGCAAAATGATGTTGTTTCAGTGAAAATTTTGCTTTTCTAAAATGATATCGTTTTAACGTCGTTAAATATTTAACGGTCGAGTGGCAAAAATATAAATTGTATTAAACTCAGTGTGAAAATGAAATAGATTTAAAGTACAGTGAGTGAAATAAGATAGAGTAAAATTCAATGATGACTGATGTAATTTACCCTTAAAAGTTTTATACAAAATATTTTTTTTCTCTCTGCCGACAATCATTAGGAATATTCAATTCTAAGGCTAGGTTAAGAGGAAATTACATCGACGAATCCTTTTGTTTTTGGTATATATCATTTTAGTCATCGATTTTTAAAAATTAACATCTCAATTATTTATGTTAACAATATATTATATTTTGATTATTAGATCGTGAACTCTCAGTAGTAATATAATAATATATGTTATGATAAGTGTCATTATTTAATTAAAAGATTAAATTTAGTAAATTAAAATTAAATAAAAAATAAGTTAAAAATTAAATGTATAATTATATAATTTATTTTTAATATGTATATAAATAAAAACTTTTGTCAGCTCCGTATCTCTCTAGTCTCTGCCTCTGATATCTCTAATGTGCTGTCATCAGTTTCTTTGCATAGAGTAAGAGGAGGGGAAAAGTGAAAGGGAGTGGGAGGCTCGTAGCGTTACGCCGACGGCACACGATAGCACTGGGCTCTGCCTCAGTTTCCGCCGATTCTGAACTTTGGGTTGTTACTCCGTATTTATTCTCGTGAGGTATGGCGGACTTAAAAGGGATCTTATCGTTCTTCCGGTCCTCACTTTCTACTCTGTTAGCAGATCGTCTCGATTTCAAATCTAAAAAAAAGAAGAGAGGGATTTACAGCAGTAAGATGCTTTGGATAATGCGATTCTCTGGATTCTTTTCAGCGGCAATGGTGATGATCATTCTCTCGCCTTCACTGCAGTCGTTTTCTCCAGCTGAAGCCATTAGATCCTCTCACCTCGACAGCTACCTCCGGTTCCCGTCGTATCAGGCGTCTACTACGTCGCCACATTCATATAAGGATCGGATTTCTTTTCGAAAAATCATCGGATTTCGCAATGCCGACGAATGTGGCTCCACCTATCGCGAAATCAGAGGCGTCTGCGATCCTTCTTTAGTCCACGTGGCTATCACTCTCGATGTGATCTACCTCCGCGGGTCAATCGCCGCCGTTCACTCCATTCTCCAGCACTCGTTGTGCCCGGAGAACATTTTCTTCCATTTCCTCGTATCGGAGACCGGTCTGGAAACACTCGTCCGGTCCACTATCCCCGAGTTGAAATTCAAGGTTTATTATTTCGATCCCAAGATCGTACGGAACCTGATATCGTCTTCTGTTAGGCAAGCGCTTGAACAGCCGTTAAATTATGCTAGGAATTACTTAGCTGATCTCCTAGAGCCGTGCGTACGGAGAGTGATTTATTTGGACTCCGATCTAGTCGTCGTCGACGATATCTCTAAGATGTGGAGCACCAACCTGGGATCACGTACAATCGGGGCACCGGAATATTGCCACGCCAATTTCACGAAATATTTCACGGGCGGATTCTGGTCGGACCAGCGTTTTCCGGGCACTTTCAGAGGGAGGAAGCCCTGTTACTTCAACACGGGGGTGATGCTGATAGATCTGGTGAAGTGGAGGCGGGTCGGGTACACGAAGCGGATAGAAAGATGGATGGAGATCCAGAAACATCACAGGATCTACGAGCTCGGTTCGTTGCCGCCGTTCTTGCTGGTTTTCGCGGGACACGTGGCGCCCATCGAACATAGATGGAACCAACACGGTTTGGGTGGGGACAATGTGAAGGGAAGCTGTCGAGACTTGCATCCCGGTCCGGTTAGCATCTTGCATTGGTCCGGCAGCGGTAAGCCGTGGCTTAGGCTGGACTCCAATCGGCCGTGTCCACTGGACTCATTATGGGCGCCTCATGACTTGTACGGACAATCGCGTTGAAATCACCGTAGCGATGCAGTCGCTGGTAAAATTCCTACCGGGACTGTTAGTTTCCGTCACTTGTTTCGTTATTTTTATCCTTCTAGTTTTCCCCTTTTGATTATGAACTACAAACAAAAACATCTTAAGTCACACACTCATTGTAGGTGAGGAGTGCGATGAGGAAGGAAAATACGGCGCCGGCCGCGGCAGTGGCATCGGCGGAATAACTACTGGCTGTAAATTTATGTTTGTCGGTGGCGGCGGCGGGTGCCTTGCGTGATTCCTTTGGGGACTGGGTGTCAAGCCAGGCAATCACATATTCTCTCTTTGTAACTTGTTTATTGTTTTTTTATACTGCAAATGACGTGACACGTATACAGTCATACATACATTTCGTTTATACTGTTCCTGTTTTGTACACCAAATAATCAAATTTGTATGTGATGGTGGCACAGAGTTAGGGACCCAGACGTCATTGTAGCGTAGATAAAATGTTCAAGCTAGGAATGGGACCCGATTCTTTTTGCCCTGGCATCACACGTGGCCTGTTTGATTATTATTTTTAAAATAACACGAGTCTTCATCTTACTATTAAGGCAGCCTCATATAATTTGTTCATAGGTACAAGTACATTATAAGTCATTAAACTATATTTAAATGATTGTTTTGATCTTTGAATTTACATGGTCCATTATTTATCTTTACATTTTGGGTACTTTTACTCACTCATTTTAAAAAACATAATATATAGTCATTTTTGTTTATATTTAATTAAGATATAGTCACTTTCGTTTTTATTTAATTAATATATAATCACCACAAGTTAACTGTTGTTAACAGTTAACAAATCAGGTGACATGATATTTTGGTATAATCAGATATTTGGTCACTGTTATTTATATATTCTCTTAATTTTACTCATACTTTTAATATTAAAATATTTTGGTATAATCATATATTTGGTCCCTGTTATTTATATATTCTCTTAATTTACTCATACTTTTAATATTAAAATAAATTTAATCATTCAATCGAATGATACCACCTGTAATTGGTGCCACGTATTATCATTTGTTTGTTTGGAGGATTAATTTTATTTTAATTTAATATATTTATTTTCCACCAATATTTTGAAAAGTTAGTTTTCCATTTGAATGATGGCGCGTGGTACAACATGTGATACCAGTGACATGTGATACGTGACATCCTTCGATTGGAATATTAAATTTATTTTAATTTATTAAAAATATAACTAAATTAAAAGAATATATAAATAATAGAGACCAAATGTGATTATATCAAAATATTTAACGACAATTAACTTACGGTGATCACATCTTAATTAAATAAAAACGAATTAACCATATATTAGGTTTTTTAAAATCAGTGATGAAAAAAAGACAAAAACACAAATATAAGTGATCAATCATTTACTTAATCCTTAAATTTACCAAAGTATTATAAAACCAGTATTAAATTTACCAAAGTATTCCAAAATAACTTATAGAAAATTATCACTAAATTTTATCAAATTGTCACAAAATGATCGACGCGATGTTATAATAAAGTATAAAATTTTGATAATTTTAATGATTATTTTTTAGTAATTTGACAAATTATGATGATAGTTTTATAAAATTTAAAAGAAATTTAATGATGATTTTATAAATTTTAAAAATTTAATAATCAAAATGATCGTTCGAGCACGAGTGTATTTCACCCTAAACATTATTGAGCTCATCTAGCTGTTACAATGTCATTTTCTTTAGATTCCTCTCCTTTTGTCATCTTCTAAAACCCAACCCCATTTATTTATGACATTCATAATGACACCATGTATGTCTTTGGCACTTTTACCTATACATCGACTGTGTTCAGTAGGGCCACATGAAAACTCTGCTCAAGGAAATGTAGCAATATTCCTTGAAGTTGAAGCATACAATAGGTGTTTGCATATGGCTCAATAAGTCTGAAATTACATTCAATGAAATTGGCTCAATAGTTCTGAAAGTACATCAAGGGGACTGGAACTTCATGTAATCCTTGCTTCCGATCGGCGGATCGATATACACCCAAAGCAAGGAAACAATGATGGAGAGCAGTCTGAATTAGTTCATACTTACACATGCATGGCTTAATCTTTGAGACAAGCAGGCCGGACCACACGAAAACAATGGTTGGAACTTTTCCCCTTCTTCCCATCAGTCCTTTGGCAAACGGATAGAGATGACACAAGACCCAGAACCTAAAGAACACCCCTCCGAGAGGCTTGCTCCACTCCGGGAAGGGGCTGTACATGGTTCTCGCTACGGCCACCGCAATCGCGATCTAGTTCAGCATCATGATTGTGATCAGAGGAACCATTTGGAAGCTCCATTTTACGATATATAGCTCCGCGAACTCGTCGTCTCTGTCTTTTGGGGTGGCGGATTTGGAAGTTAATGTGAATGAGATGTCGACTCCTGCTATGACCTTTAGAAGTCCTTGTAGCATTGCTGCGAGATGGGCACTGGTTCCACCGATCAACCAAAACTGTTCGTTCCGCCACCAATCATGAAGAGTGATTCCCGACCATTTGATTTCGAGGATGGCAAGCAGGCATAAGGTGATTGTGATGGCCAACAAGAATATCAAGAAGGTCACACTGAGAGCTTGCACTATGAACTGGCCCGAGAGTAGAGAAACTGCATGTAGAATGCAGTAGACTAGGGAAAACATAGAAGTAAAAGGGTACATCCCCACATTGAAATATGCCACTCTTTGCAAGAACTTCATTCGCCGAGTAGCAAATAGTGCATTGTTCCTCGGAAAGAATATCTCAACTGAACCAGTTACCCATCGAAGGACTTGGTGCAGCATCTGTTAAATTGATCGGAGCAGTCCCACGGAACGCATCCCACTTGGTTACACAGTACACCGATCTCCATCCACGATTGTGCATTCTATAACCAGTTACCACATCTTCTGTGACAGAGCCATATATCCATCCGACCCGTTTTCCCCATTCAGTTTTATCGTCTTAGAAGCAAGATATAACACTTATTGCTTCGGCAACAGTTGCAGCGTCCAATGGTTCACGGGGCACTGCAAGCCAACCAGCTGGCCTACCTTGGTTTCCCTTTCCTTGCATATCCTGAAGCAGCCTTCCTTGGAATTCAGCGACCGGGATCGATGCTGCCAAAGAAGTAGAGTTCCCAAATCTTTTAGGAAGAAGCAAAGATTCAATATCTAAATCATTATCATTATCATTGTGTTCCCAATTAATAGGCAATCTTATCTCATCTTCTGCTTTCTTTGAAACCTTGGGTTTCCTCAAAAGGAACTTGATTTTCCTTCTGCAAAATCATCCATGATGTTCAGTGGCTCTAGGAGGACTAAGCCCGTAAGGACCCAGTTATCCTGAAAATGCAACCTGTACCTACATACTTTGGCCCCTGTAACCCATCAAGAGCTCTCATGCTTACATCGAAGAACACTGTGTTATGATTTGCGTATCGGTCATTCGGGTCAATCCCCTCGAACCTTTGTGGGAACTTAACATAGCACATCCTGTCACCACCTCTGTCAAGCATGAAAGACATTCCTTCTCTGAGAACCAAAGAATTGTAGATGTAGTGATCACAGTCAAGGTTGAGGATGAATGGCCCATTCGACATGATAGCACTCGTTCGAACAAGAGAATTCATGGCTCCAGCTTTCTTCTTGTGATCATAACCTGGACGTTTCTCACGGGACACATAAACCAGCATCAGAAACCTGGTATCGACTTCCTTCACGTCGATCAAGTTCGCTCCATCTGTTTCTGCACCATAAACAGGTTCTGCATTTGGTGGAGCCAACATTGCCTGCAAAGAAAGACTAAATTTAGCATTTGAAAACCACACACATAACAACTGAATTCACAAACTTGATTCTGAAATGTAACTGAATAATCCCAGCATGGTCTCCTTTTGAATGATCCGGCTCTGAAGATGCCCATGTTCCAGGCCAGTGAGAACCATTAGACATCCATGTATCTTGGGGAGTTTAACAGGGTCTGAAAGATTGCCTCCCATTTCCATCTGTGTCTTTTTGGCTCGAAGCTCTTCATGTGCATTATAAGCATCTGATCTCCTTCTAATCGACTCAAGCAACGAGTTAATCCTGACCTTAAACTCTTCACATTCTCTCTTCACCCTCCTTCCCTCCCTAACAAAATCAAGCCTCACTTTGTTCTTAAGAAAATCACGCTTCAGCCCGAAATACGCCTCGGGATTTCGATGTCCGATGTTATGTTTGCGGCAAAAAGGAACCCAAACTCGAGCAAAGCTAGCAGTCTCCGCTAAAGCTTCAAATGTCAAAAGTGCACCACCATCATCTGTAAGGTAACAAGCAAGTTTTTCTACTGGATAGTCAACGGCTAGGATTGAAAGGATGGTGTTTGCTGTTACAAGAGGGGGTTCCTTTTCAGGGTCCGCCGTGGAAATGATAGGTATGATTTTGAAAAAAATTGTAAGTCTAAATACTAAAATAGACAAAAAAACTGATGGTTTATGCAGTAAATGCGTAGTTTAGCCTATTGTTTTTCACGTTGTCAATATTAATTATTTTGTTTAATTGTGATTTTAGTCCTCGTTACTTTTTCAGAACTTATAAAATTCTCCTAATAGCTTTTCCCCACGTGAAAAAGTAATCGTGATTCCCTTCGTTTGTTTCACTTGAATTGAGTTTTCACAGAAGAATTGGGGATGGATGACGATGGCAACGAGCAAATCACGATAAATTTGAAAGTCGATCAAACTCTATCACAACAAATTTCCAAATAAACTTTAGGGTAAATTACGATTTTGGCCGTTTTTATACATAAATTATTAATTTTTTTAAAAATCATACTTAATTTTTTTTTTTGTTTTACTATAATACCTTGCCGTTAAAAATTTCAAATTTTTGTTTCTTTTAATACACCGTTCAAAATTTAACATTAAGTTTTGAATTTCTTTTTGAAAATTAATGCACTAAAACGGAGCAAAACTTAAATGCGTTAATTTTTTTTATGGCGGATACTAAAATGAAATGCAAAATTAAATGTTAGGTATGGTTTCGAAAGCATTGAAAATTTAGGTACTTAAATGAATAAAAATTGATAGTTTAAGTATTAAATATACAGTTTACCCTAAACTTTATTTTTATTAATAACACTAATAAAAGCAATTTGACATGCATATGAAGAGATATGATCTAATATTTAAAAAAGGGTGAATGAAAAATTATTCGATGGTTTCGGTTTACCGTTTCATCTTTGGTATCGATTAATAATATTTGTTTATATTTTTTTTTCTAAGTTGAATCTTCACTTTTACTACGAATGACTGGTGAACGAATTTCATCAAATAATTTCTCAGGTGAATGCCATTTATGTTTCAAGTGAAGCCAAGATAATATGGGATCTGAGTAGAATCCAACCACTCCTTTCCTTGTATAAATGACCCAACAGTGAACTGGTTCGCCTCATCGGAGCTTTTAATGACCCTATAACCAGGCCAATTCACCCTTTTGCTCGTACTCGACCCTGGCCCTGTGTTCATGTACTCCCCGTAATAAAGCGTACTCAAACCAATATTCCCGCTCCATTCCGCCCATCCAGCAGGATCCACCAGATCGTCTATATACGACCGCAAAACAACCGTCCTCGAATACTCTTTCCATGGCCGCCCCAAATACGTCTCGAACGACGAAAGGACCGGGGCTAAATCAGAATCGGCGAGCAGTTTACAGTTCAGGATTGAAATCCCAGTGTCCTGGTTCGGATCATCTCTTCCTTGCGCCGTGAAGACGTTCTGTTGGGAAGGGTTCGGTTTACGGGCGTATAGATTGCAGTTCTGGAAGACCGCCGCCGCGTTCCCGAAGATGGCGTCGACCGTTCCGTGCACGTCGCATTCGCGGTAGAATTGCCGGAGGGAGTGAACGTAGAGAGCGTCCTGGTAGGCGAGTACGCTGCACTTGTAGAACGCGGAGAGGTCGGCGTTGATCCTTAAAGCCACCGCTTGGTGTTTGCTCGGCCCCGCCGTGTTCTCGAAGGTCATCGCCTTGGCTATGAATCCGTCGCCGGCCACCGCTGAATCAAGATTAATGAAGCTAAGTAAGCTTAACGAGTTGTGAAGAATTTGAAGGTTTCGAAGCTGAACACACCTACGGTTGCCGTGCTAAAAGTTGTATAGCTATCGACGGCGTTTCTGTTGGCTTTCACCACCGTCTTCCCCATACCGTCTCCCACAAACATCAACATTTTCTTATCTGCTCCGACCGCTACGTTTTCGAAATAAGTTCCGCTTTTTATATATATCACAAACCTATAAAAATTATTAATAAGCTCATGATCAGTGAATTAATTTGATGTTGTCGGTTTCACATGAATGAAAGTAGGGTAAATTATATATTTAGTATTTAAACTATCAATTTTGTTTTATTTCAGTATCTAAACTTTTATTTTTTTCAAAATCATATATAACGATTAGTTTTTGTATCATTTTAGTATATCACCCGTAAAATGACATTGCATTTTTTATGGGTAAATTACATCATTCATCACTTGATTATCTTCTCACTCTTATTTTAATACTAAAGTTTAAAAATTTCAATTTAACTACTCAACTTTCAAATTGTTTCTATTTTAATTATTCTAATTTAATTTATTAATAAATTTTGTGAAATGAAATTTTTATTATAATTATTATTTTATTAATATATAATTTAAAGTAAAAAATAAATTTGAAAGTTACAGTGATTAAATTAGGAGTAATTTAAAAGTTAAATAATTAAATTAAAAAATGTAGCGACCAAAATAGGAGCGAGAAGATACTTGAATGATGAATAATGAAATTTATCCATAAAAAGGTGTCATTGAAAATCATTTGTTGAGTTTTTAGTAGTGATGTACTAAAATGAAACAAAAACTAAATGTTATGTATGATTTTAAAAATATTGAAAGTTTAAATACTAAATTTGATCAAATATGATAATTTAGGTACTATATATGTAATTTATCCATGAAATTAACCTTTTGCGTTTGTTGTTTGGAGCTGCTGCCACGGCGTCGTTGATCTTAGTGAAATTCCCACTACCATCACCGGCAACGATAAGATCGAACTTTATTTGATCATTCTGAGCCAATAGAAGTTTCCTGTCTCTCCCCGATAACCACGCCGGAAAATCCTTTTCCCGGCCACCGGTTTCGGGGAAAAACTCAGATTTCGATCCGTTGACACTGGGGACTCTTTTGAGCATTGCAAGAGAGTTGCTGATGTGATGAGATATGTTGTGTACGCTTTTTTCAATAGTGTGTATCGCATTCCCTTTGCTACCATCTAACCCGTCGAGACATGTGTACTGGTTCGTCATTGCCGCGCTCAAAAACGTCCCTAACTTGTGTCGGTTCCCCGAGACTCGTGATCTCCCCGGAGTAAGACACGCTCGGGCCACCGTCAGCTCCGCCAATGTGAGGTTGAAAAGCTCAATGCAATCGTCGAACGCGTCCCGTTCCAACGTGTCGTTACGCTTGAGTCTCTTTTCGATATTAGCACATTTTGCGGAGCTGAGCGTCACCTCGTACATTGCCCGGTTCAAGATTGTCGAGATGAGCTCCTCGAGAGATTTCGAGGCAAAATCCGAGATGTCAGAGACGACGGCGACGCAAAGGTCGGGGTACAACGTGCCTTCGCACGCGGAGGAAGCGTCTCGGAGATGATCGTGGACATGTAAACTGCGAATCGGAGCGTTTCCGGGGCTCTTTCTCGCAACGGCGACAGATGGAACCAAGGCCAAAACCAAGAGCAAGACAAGTGCCGAAGTTGATGCAAGAACAAGTAAGATGTTGGATCTTCCACTTGTATGGTACATGCTAGCGTGTAAGGGATTGTTAATATAATTTTGATGTTAATCTCTTTAATTAATGGAGTTTAATACTAAATTATAAACAATTTTACGGTAAAAAAGGAATTAGATTTAGTAAACAGTTTTATAAAATCCGGAACAGTGATAAAAGAAAACCAAATAAAAAAACCCTTTAAAAAATCCGGGACGATTAATGATTGGTTAGAACAATCATCACCCTTGAGCTATAGCTTCACCAAACCATCACCATATATATTATTTTGTGCGATTAATTTATGGAGACGAGTTTTAACTAATAAGGAGTGTGTTTATGAAGATTACTCGTGTAATATATATATATATATATACTTTCAAATTTTTTATTTAATTTAATGAAAAGGATCACAATTTAAATACGTATTTAAGTTTACAAACTTTCAATATCTATATGACATATAATCGTTTAGGTATTGATTTTGGGGTGCTTACTCTTCCCTCTCACGTAACCGACTCTCGAACCCTTTTTCAAAATAATTTTTTGTGTTAAACACAGATCAATTTTATCTTTTAACTTAATTTTTCTAAAAATTATTTTAAAATATAATTTTTAGGTATTCAACATACCTAAACTAAAGATCGATGGTGACTCTAAATTTATTTTTTTAACCCTAATTTTTAAAATTAAGGTGGTTTGATCCTTCCAAAAACTCAAAGTCAAAAAGCTTAAGGACTGTTCCGTCATTAAAATTTATTATTAATAATGATTTAGATTAAATATATTATTCATGACCGTCCACGAAATAATTATATTGATTTGTGACATAAATCAGATTTGTTGGTGTACTTTGATCATATTTTATAAATATTTTATATCAATTTTTGAATTATAATATATTTTAAATTGATCTATGAACTTTTAGATATTCTATATCAGTCATCAAACTATTAATATCATTTTATTTTGATTCTTTCATCAACATGTTGTTAACTTAATTGGTTATTGCATAAACCAAGTTATTTCAGTGGCTAAAGAGATGCTTGTTAATTTTATAGGTCTCATGTTCGAGTATCAAAGACTACAAAGGCGATGACCTAACTTTCGTTGCAAAATGATTGAGAATATTTAGAACAAATATTACATTCTAATCACCTTATATTAATAAAAAAACTTTATTGGTTGTAAAATTTTAGGGTAAATTACTCAAATGACCACTTAGCTATGAGGTTAGTATCGATATGACCACCATAATTTCAATTTTAATAATATGATCACATAACTATTTAATTGGTTTAAATGTAGCCACATGCTGTTAAAATTTAACAGTGCAGTTGATATGATAGTTAATAAAATTAGTATAATTAGACATTTACTCCTCATAACTTATGTATTCTATCAATTTGATCATAATTTTAAATTAAATCAATAAATTTAATCATCCAATCATATAGTGACACATAATACATATCCAAAGAAATACAACATTTTAGATCTAACAACTTAAACTCATCTAAACCCAAACAGCTCAAACTTAAATCTACCAAAATAGCCTAAAACTAAAACATGTCCAAACTATTGAAGCAAACCACGAATGTTACGTACGAATCAAGCCTCGTCGATAAAAGAATTATTGTTATTTTTTGAGATTTCGGGTTCAAACATCAGAAATATCGGGATTTTGAGCGTTCAATATTTAATGATTGTTAATTATCTTTAAATTGAACACAATATTTTATACTTATCTCATATTAATCTTAAAAAACTCTGAATGATTAATCTAATATTTTAAACTTTCAAATATGCGGCTAATATTAATAAATTAGTCTAAATTAAATTATGCATACATTTTTAAATTTTGACTGTATTTGAGAAACTGCTTAATCCTTCAATTTTTAAATGGGTAAACTACGTAGATAGTCCCCTATGTTTTCGGTTTGGCCGACTTTGGTCACTAATTTAAAAATTAAGGGAGAATAGTCCCTAAAGTTATCGATCCATCCGATTTTAGTCCCTAACATTATCAATCCGTTCGATTTTAGTCCCTCATCCGTTAACTCTCGCTCGATTTTAGTCCCTTAGCCATGTTAGGGACTAAAATGGAACGGATAGATAACGTTAAGGACTATTTCCCCTTAATATTTAAATTGGTGACCAAAGTCAGTCAAATCCTAAACATAGGGGACTATCTGCATAGTTTACCCTTTTTAAATTTAAATATCGAATACATTCTTATTGTTTTAAAATTGAGCAGTTTATCCCTTGTCAATATTCGATTCTAATTCCATCTATGTATTGAACATTCAAACTTTAAATCTGCTGGATATTCAATTAAAAAAAGTTAACCTTCGAACCGAATGGAAATTATAAACATGCAAGAATATTAATTATGTTGCAGTGGGGAAATGAAACTAGGAGGGTATATAACTCAATTCGGAGCCAAATTATCGCCGTTGTCAGAACTCGGACCATCGGCGCCGTCGTCACTCGGAGCCAAAATATGGGCGAGGTCGTCGACGATAGAACACAGTTGGAGGAAGTTGTTAGTCTTATTAAACAGCTCCAGGTCCTTCCCCTCGCCTTGATTCAACGCGGCCGAGCACTCGTTGGCGTCGTCCAGCGCGGTCCCCACCTCGGTCTTCAGGCCCTTGAAATCCCTCGACGTGACGAGCGCCAGGGCGTCGTCGAGGTCCTGCATCGCGTCCTCGAAATTCTCCGAGCAATCTTCGAAGTTCTGCTCCGTGGTGGGCGCCAAGGTCTCCGCGCTCTCCGAGAGCGTCGTCCGGATGAACGTCGCGGTCTCCGAGCCGTTGCTGGCGGCGACGTTGATCGCGATCAACGTGAGAGCGACCACGTCCTTGGCGTCTTGGCTGGCCTGCTCGGCGCCTAGCCTCGAGAGGCAAAGATCCTTCTCCTTAACCTTTTGACAAGTCTCGGTGACTAGTTTGTTCTCAGCGCTTAATAAAAGGAAGAAAGAGACGCAAATGAAGAAATACAATGCCAATGCGCCATTATTTATTATAGACTTCGTTGTTTCCATCTCTAGTTTATGAATTTTTTTCCACCTTTCTAGACTTGTAATAAGTTATAGGGTCACGATCTTTATAGTTTTTACATGTAAGGCTCTTTCTTTAAAAATATATATATTTTTAAAAAATATCTATGAACAACTTAAAAGACAATTACTCTTGGCCACACACAATGAATACTAAAAATGGTGAAAATATTAAGAATCAGCCCAAAAATGAATTTGTTCATCCGTTTTTAACGATATCCTTTTAGTTGATAGGACAATTTACTACCTAAACTGTTATTAGTTTTGGTCTGTTCTAGTATTTAAACTTTTATTTTTTTTAAAACCATCTCTAAAATTTAGTTTATGTTCCATTTTAGTATCCCACAGTTAAAAATTTTAGTTTTTGTTTCATTTTAGTACCATGTTCAAAATTTAACGTTAAGTTTTAGAAAAAAATGAAAGTTTAAGTACTAAAACGGATCAGAATTGATAGTTTAGGTGCTAAATGCGTTAAGTTTTTAACGTGGGTACTAAAATGAAATAAAACTATATTTTAGGGTAAATTACGTATTTAGTATTTAAATTATCAATTTTGGTTCGTTTTAGTACTTAGATTTTTAATTTTTTCAAAATTATACTTAAAATTTAGTGTTTTTTATTTTAATACCCTGTTTAAAATTTAACATTAATTTTTGAAAAACCTTTAAAGTTTAGGTATTAAAATGGACCAAAATTAATAATTTAGATACTAAATGCGTTATGTTTTTAACGATGAGGTACTAAAATGAAATAAAAACTAAACATTATGTATGATTTAAAAAATATATAAATATTAAAATATTAAAATAGACCAAAACTGATAGTTTAAATATTAAATACGTAGTTTAATCTATTTTTTTATTTAAAAGAATATGTTACTTTATTATAAACACTTATTTTCGTCTGGGGTCTTTTTTTTATATAGCATAATATACATAATAATTTCAAATATAGTTTTTGAAAACTTATTTTTAAAAATGAATAATTTTGAAAATATATAATATATAATATATAGTTTTTAAAAACTTATATATAATATATATATAATATATATGTTGGGTAGGCAGGCCTGACCCAGCCAACCGACCCGGTAAGCCCATCAAAGAGTTAGAATTCCATGCTAATCAGGGGCGCCGCACGAGAGGAAGCAAGCAGCGCTCGTGGATGCCACACGCCAACAATCAGCGGGATTTTCGGCCGAACAACCCAGGACTGACCCATCCCGAGCTTTCTGGACGCACCAACAACCAACGTTGTCGAACATCATCGAAGTGAAGAACACCAAAAAGTCACGAACATCATCGAAGTGAAGAACACACACAAAAACAGTGTACCAAATATAGAAACTTAAAATAAAAAAACGTTCGAAATCGAAAGAAAAAAAAGTTGGAGCCTTTGTCTTGTCGAAGAACGCCGAGAATGCACAGAGGCCTCGTCGGAAGGAGAAGAGTCATCAGAGAGTCGAAAAGTCACCATCGGTAAAGGTAAAGTTGAAACTTTGAACGTAGATCTACGTCATTTGAGGGTTTTTTTAAGGGAATTTGGGGCTCGGGTTCTGCTTCGGGACGTTTAAAGTAGCATTTTTCAGGTAACCCCTAGGATTCCTGCCACTGACGATGTTGGCCGGAGCGGCGGCAGTGCGTGGCTAGGAATGGTGGCCAACCATTCAGCCTGGTTGGCTTGGGTTGCAAGAGTTTAGAAGGGAAGAGAAGAGTGATATTTAAGAAATGGGGTTGAAATGATTTTTTTAGGATTTGTGGGGTATTTATAGGGGATCGAAGGGTAATTCGTAAATAGTTTAATTATTTTTACAGTCCCTAAACTTTTGATGTGTAATTTATTTTGGTCACCTGTTGTAAATTTGCCCATGAATTTTGAATTTATTCAATTTAATCTTTGTACAATTCTCTTATATTTCGCAAATTGACCCCTCCTAACTTTTTATTTATTCTTGCAGCATCCAAATGTTGTTAATTTGGTCCTTAATTTTAAATTTGTTGCATTTAAACCCTTTTAATTTAAAATTTTCTTTTACTTTATATTTTCTTAATTTAATTTTGTTTTACTTTAATAATTAAAATTGATTTGATTTATATTTTTAGGTCAATTTCAAATCCTTCGATGGTAAGTAGTTCGGGTCAAACTTTTATATTTCAAATCCTTCATTGACTGTAATCGACTCCCGAGTCTGACATATTTTTGGTAAAACGCAAATCATGTAAGGTGGTAAATTAAGGTGTCCGGTCAACCTAAATTTTTCTTAAAAAATAATAAATGATCGGTGGCGGCTCTCGCATGTTTTATTTAAGTCGAAGCCTAATTTCGGGCCCACCCGAAAGACGGTTACAACATTTATCTATATATATTGTTTTTAAAAAAAATATTTATAAGAATAGTAAACTCCTTAAATTATTTATTGAGATAGTACATTTTTAGTTTCACATAGATAAAGATCCTACGTCAAATGCCTTTATTGAAAATATTATCACATCAACTACATCTTTCAAAAATTGTGTGTAATATGATCCGTATTTATCCTACTTGATACTGAAAGATTGAAATGATACATCAAATGACTAAACTAAAATATAAAAAAATTCAAAAAATTATATGAATTTGATCTGGAAAATAAGTAACATGTGTATGTATATATACAAATTTTATTTTTAATCACTCGAATAATATATGTTAGAATGATATATTTAATGCAAAAGGGTAAATTTTTGTCCCTGTAATAGACATAATTTATCACTTTCGTTTTTATCGTATTTTAGCTCTCTAAGTTGCTCAATTATATCATTTTATACCTTACCCCTTACTTAAAACCCTAAATTATAAACCTTAAACCCTAAACTATATTTCCATAACCTCTAAACCCTAAATCCTAAACACTAAATCATTTATACTTTAGGTTTTAAGTGAAGAGTAGGGTACAAAATGATGTAATTGAGCAACTTGAAAGATTAAATTGATGCGAAAATATGATAAAGACAAAAATAATAAATTGAATCTAATATAAGGGCAAAGGTGACCCTATACTTAATCCTATCTAATAAAAGCTTTATCTTTACATTTTTATTACAATGTTTAGGGTATCTTATCCTATATGTTCACGTTCTAGAAGCAATACAATATAAATTTTTGGATAAATCAATGCATGCAAGGGAATTGGTATGATCGCACAAATAAGGGCGATTGATGCCATTGCATATTCTATAAAGCAATACCATAAATACTTTCTCCCCAACTTTATTTCCTAAGAATGTTCCGTTAATTACGAGCATTGTCCGGTCATAAAAGGAATCTAGCCGTCTTATATTTAGAATTTCAATTGTTTTTAACGTAAATTACCTTCGGTATATAAACTATCAGTTTTATTCCGTTTTAGTAATTAAATTTTCAATTTTTTAAACTCACACCTAAAGTTTAATTTTTGTTTCATAATAGTATTCCGCCGTTAATAACTTTAGTTTTTGTTTCATTTTAGTATCATGTTCAAAATTTAACGTTACGTTTTGAAAAGAAATAAATATTTGGGTACTACAATGGACCAAAACTGAAGTTTAGATGCTAAATGCGTTAAATTTTTAATGGCGGGTACTAAAATGAAATAAAAATTAAATTAGGTATGATTTTGAAAAAATTGAAAGTTTAGGTACTAGAACGGGCCAAAACTGATAGTTTAGATACTAAATGCGTAATTTACCCTTGTTTTTATGACAGGCTGGTTACTGTTGTCTTGGAAATAACTTCAAAAAACATTACAAGGCTCCACTTTAAAAGGCAACAATATTGTACTAGTATTCCCCAACACTGATGATTCTGCTGACATGGAGAAGATAGAGCACACCACAGTGACCACCAATGGCATAAACATGCACATCGCGAGGATCGGTTCGGGCCCGGTTATCCTCTTCCTGCACGGTTTCCCCGAGCTTTGGTACTCATGGCGCCACCAGCTCCTTTCGCTGTCATCTCTAGGGTACCATTGTGTGGCTCCCGATCTTCGTGGATACGGTGACACCGACGCTCCCGCTTCTGCGGCTTCGTACACCGTTTTCCACGTCGTGGGGGATCTCGTGGGCCTCCTCGACGTGCTCGGTGTCGAGCGAGTGTATTTGGTGGGACATGATTGGGGCGCACTGATTGCTTGGTCGTTTTGCCAGTTCAGGCCAGATAGAGTCAAGGCTTTGGTGAACCTTAGCGTGGCGTATCCGCCAAGGAACCCTATGGTGAAGCCCGTGGAAGGGCTCAGGGCTTTGTTTGGGGACGATTACTACGTTTGTAGGTTCCAGGTAATTGATTCACGCAACACTTAGAATAGTTAGATTAGTTGTTTTGATTATTTGATTTTGCTTTAGGAACCTGGGGAGATTGAAGACGACTTGGCTCAATTGGGCACCCAAAAGCTTTTTAAGTTGTTTTTTACCTCTCGTGATCCACGACCATTTCGTATATCTAAAGAAACTGGGTTGAGAGGATGGCCCAATCCCCCACCCCTGCCCTCCTGGTGCTCTGAACATGACATTGATTACTTTGCCAACAAATTCAACCGGACCGGATTCACCGGAGGACTGAACTATTATCGAGCTATGGACCGGTAGGTCCTTGAATCTAGCATGCTAAGAAGTTGTTGAAGGAAACACACCTGTGTGGCCAGGCTAATTCAATCTTGTTTGTTGCAGGAACTGGGAACTTACGGCACCTTGGACTGGATTGCCGATCAAGGTACCGGTTAAATTTGTCGTCGGTGACCTCGACATTACGTATCACATCCCCGGCATAAAGGGATACATACACGACGGCGGATTCAAGAAAGACGTGCCGCTGTTGCAGGAAGTAGCCGTCGTGGAAGGAGCAGCCCACTTTATCAACCAAGAAAAACCAGAGGAGATTAGCATGCACATTTACGACTTCATTAAGAAATTCTGATTCTTGGCCCCTGTACGCTGCTACTTCCCTTACAAGTTATATCTCTATAATAATGTGTTGAGACCTTACAATTACGATATACAATAAATTACATGTTTAGTACTTAAATTATCAGTTTTAATCGATTTTAATACCTACTTATTGAATATGTGGCTACCCTACAATATATAATTAAGAAAATAGTCAATGCTTAAAATAAATTATTAACTATTTTGTTCTTTAATTTGGAAAACGCCAATATGACAATGCCAAGGTATGTTTTATACCCAAATATCAATTAAATACATTCTTAATATTTTATATTTTTACAATTAAATTAAGGGTAAAGTACAAAAATATTCCACCATTATAAAGTACTACTTTATTAAATTTATTGACTATTAAAAGTTACAAGATGAACCTCTGATTATAGAATATTACTTTGTTAAGTCCATTGACTATTAAAAGTTATAAAATGGTCACTCGACTATTCATCATGTTCCAAACTTGTCTTTTTCATTAAAAAATTAGCGGTGGTCTAAGCTGGACGTTAACATGATGACTGAGATATGATTGTCGTTTGCGATTTCGGGATCAAATTTTATCATATCACAATTAACATATTAACTTTCAACTCAAAATGTCATCAATTTTTAACGGAAAATGACAAGTTTGAAACATAATGAATAGTCGAATAACCATTTTGTAACTTTTAATAGTTGAGGGACTCAACAAATCAACACTCTATAGTCAGAGGACCATTTATTACTTTTAATAGTAAAAAGACAAATTTGGAAAATTGTAAATTTTAATGATAAAATTAATATAAATTCTAAAATTTAGTGATATTGAAATATTTTACCCCATCTTTCTAATTTTTGGTTTAAGTCGATTAAAATAGGGTAAATTACGTGTTTAGTACCTAAACCATCAGTTTTGATTCGTTTTAGTACCTAATTTTTTTTTTTCTTAAAATCATACTTAACGTTTAATTTTTATTTTATTTTAATATTTCACCATTAAAAACTTAACACGTTTAGTACTTAAACTACTAGTGGTGTCCAATTTAGAGGTGAGCATAATGCACGGTCAATTATTTTCACCTTACCGTCAACATCTATCTCGTTTTGGCCACTCCTGCATGTCCTGGATTTGTAACCAAAAAATACAGTTGAAGGACAACCATGCTAACGACATTCGACCACCGTTGAAAGTAGACGGGATATCACCAAGATACTCTTCGCACAAGGAATGTCAATCACCATCCGCCACATCAGAAATAACATCCCCATCTACCAAAAACCCCAAATGTATGGAAACATCCTCCAGCGTAATAGTGCACTCCCCACACGAAAGATAAAATAAGTGTGTCTCTGGTCTCCACCTCTCAATTAGTGTAGAAATAAGGGGAAGTTCAAGGTTACAATGCATTCATATCTCACTATGTAACAGAATCCAACCTCGGCTAAATACGGCCAGACACAATTCGGTTCCTCTAATTTAACGTTATGAATAAATGGATCTAATATGCGGTCATTCCCCTAATTAAATAAATAGTACATAAATTAAAATCTAAACTAATACTAAAATAAATAAATAAATGAAACATTCACAATAATTAAAATAACACAATTTAAATTTATTACCGTATCATCAAAATGACTGGAGATATGATTTCCATCTAAACGCAATAACCTGCTTTCCATTTTATAACTGCAAAAAACAATAAAAAATTATAACAATAAATTACAATAAAATAACAAAATATTAAATGATTATAATATAATAATTAAACTTTTACCTTATAAAAACAATAACATAACTTACTTAAAGCTTACTAGAATGATTAATAAAAGAAATAGGAGAAAAATTTTGTTATGGTTTGAGGGTTTTATGATGGGGTATTTATAGGTAGATGGGAAGAGAGACGTGGAATTAAAGGGGACGGGGACGGTTGGGTTGTATTAAAGGAGATATTTTGGGGAATAATGGAAGGCGTGAATTATTATCGGCACCTTCCATCACGTGTCAGAATCCTATCAAAGACACGACTGAGGATCCGTGCTTTACCCTCGTGGTTCCAGCTTGGACAAAAGGCGCGTTTGATGATTCGCGCCTTCCATCCACGTTTACAAGATGCGTTTGGTTAAGTACGCTTTACTGTTAAAGGGTACTAGATCGAAAATATTTGGAGAAACAATGCCTGAATGGTAAATAATATATATATTTGGGTGATTTTTGAGTAAAAACGCCTAAGAAGGAAGCGTCAATTAACAGACTCTGTACCACCCACCGCTCCGTTGCATCCACCAACCACTATTTTCAACTAGAAAGCTATCTGCCATAGCTAGCCTGCTCTCCAGACTCTCTACCAGTCAAAGCACCCACCTGCCCTTACCCATCTTCTTCGTCCCCAGAAGGAAACACACAAGATTTCCTTTTGAAAACAGCTTAAAAGTTTAAACCCATTCTCCATAGACACGAAAAAAAGGAATAACCAAAAAAAGAGGAAGAAACAAATGGCTCTCGATCTCACTTCCGCTATTCCCATGACGACCCTACTCCTCTTCCTTCTAATCCAATCGCCTCTCGCATCGTCATTCCCCCTCACCGTCACCGACGACGCACCGTCAGCCTACGAAGTCCTCCAAGCCTACAACTTCCCCGTCGGTCTTCTCCCCAAAGGGGTCGTGAAGTACGATTTAGACGAATCCACTGGTCGATTCCATGCCTATTTAAATGGTACGTGTAGTTTCTCGTTGGAAGGATCTTACCAACTCAAATACAAATCGAAAATCAGCGGAATCATATCCAATAACAAGCTCCAAGACCTTTCTGGGATCAGCGTCAAGGTCTTCTTTCTATGGCTCGACATCGTGGAGGTTATTAGAGATGACGATGAGCTGGACTTCTCGGTAGGGATTGCCTCTGCAAGCTTTCCAATTGATAACTTTTATGAGTGTCCGCAGTGTGGATGTGGACTGGATTGCGTTGATGGGAAAGTAAGCAAGCTTAGAGTTAAGCCTTCTTTTGCTTCGATTTAGAGGAATTTCTAGGGAGGAAATGTTCAAGTCATTGAATGTTAAGTTTTCAACTTGGGCTGAATTCAAATGGGTTTTTGATTACATGCTGAAATCTGCATAGGTTTAACTTCTTGTGTGTGTATTTGTTTCGTATAATTAAGGTTTAGGGTTTATCGACTATGTTATGGGGCATTGACATATTAGTTCATCTTTTCTTTTGATGCCATGAGTTACATAGAGTGCTAAGCCTTGGGCCATGTTTCTATGGGGGACACTGGATGTTAGTTTGGGTGTTAACAGAAGGCTATGCTTTGCAATATTATCCCTTGTATATGATAGTGGAACTGCAAATTTATACCTCCATTTGTGAGAACGGAGGCATATTGCGGAAGAAGATGATCGGCGGTGATGGGAGTGTATGGAGGAGTGAACGACGGCTATATACTTTAGGTTTTGAGTTATTGGAAACTCGGGGTTAGAGATAGTAACCGACCCGAACTAATAACCACCTAATATTAACAAATCCAATACAACTCATAACCGGGTCAGTAGTCTATGTGTCTAACACTATTAAGTGATTATCGAGTGAATAGACAGAGGTCGAAAGGGCATGAAGGATGGGACCTGCTGTTTGGCTATTAATAAAATTTTAATATAATATTTATAAATCAAATTAATAAAGAATTTGTTAATAGTCTAATATTTATCATTGAGGAGTACTTTTTTACTTGTTTATTATTTAGTATAAATATATAAAAAATACAAAAATTATTACAATAATATTAATTGACGTAAAAAACAGCACATTGAGAAGCTGTTAAAATTGGTTAGTTGATTTAAAGCTGATATTTCGGACAGCTAGGCTGACCTTGTAACCCCGTTTCTCAACCAAAAAAAAAAAACGAAGTAAAAAACTTAATATATAATATAGAAATGATCATATTACATTAATTATCAATATTTGTTTAAGGGTAAACGAAGCGCTTAGTATTTAAACTATAAGTTTTTGTCTGTTTTGGTACTTAAACTTTTAGATTTTCAAAATCATATTTAACGTTTAGTTTGTTTCATTTTAGTATCCGCCCTTAAAAACTTAACGCATTTAGTACCTAAACTATCAGTTTTGGTCCGTTTTAACAGCCAAACTTGTAATCTTTATTAAAATTAAATGTTAAATTCTTAATGTGGTACTAAAATGAAACAAAAACTAGGCATTAGATATGATTTTGAAAAAATGAAAGTTTATATACTAAAACGGACCAAGACTGATAGTTTAAGTACTAAACACGTAATTTACCCTTTTTTTAATTATAGATTCGAATTTAGTTGATTTATTTTGGAGTTACCAAAATCAAATTTGTTCAGTCTAAAAATTTTTTAGGGTAAAGTATACAATTGGTCTTCGATTATAAGGTACTACTTTATTAAGTTCATCGACTATTAAAAGTTATAAAATGATCATTTGACTATAGAATGTTGTTTAGTTAACTCCCTCGACTATTAAAAGTTACAAAATGTCACTCGACTATTCACTATGTTCAAACTCATCACTTTTCCGTTAAAAATGTAAGGTATTTCGAGCTGAATGTTAACTTGTTGATTGTGATATGATAAAATCTTATCATAGAATCTCAAACGACTATCATATCCTAGTCATCATGTTGAAGTCCAGGTTAAATAATTGCTAATTTTTTAACAAAAAATGACGAATTTCGAACATAATGAATAGTCATGTGACCATATGTAACTTTTAAGAGTCAAATGACTTAAAAGCAATATTTTATAGTCATATGACTATTTTATAATTTTTAATAGTTAAAAGACTTAAAAAAGTAGTATCATATAATCAGGGGACCATTTGTGTACTTTACCCAAAATTTTACCTTCAAATTTTATCCATTTTAAATCGTTAGAATTATGAAGTCTTATGGACTTTAAATGGACCTAGCCAACCATTTCAATTTTAGGGCCCAAAGATGACCAATCCCTAACAAATATCTGCGTCGAAACCTCAACCTTATCGGCCTTCCCTACCGACAGTTCTGCATCCGATTAGGGCAATTACCCCCAGGAAGAAATAAACCCTGAAAATCAAACCACGTTTTCCTCATCCCCGTCACCTCTTTTTTGTATTAGCTTAGAGCCAGAGCCAGGAGGGAACAATGGCGGATGCTAGTCAGGGTCAGGGAGAAGAAATTCCTCCGAATATGACTTTATACATCAACAATCTGAATGAGAAGATCAAAATCGACCGTACGTATTTCAACTCTCCAAATCCCCTTAAAAACCGCTTACAGTACTTTTCTTTTCCTTGATTTGTTTAATTTTTTTCTCGGGTGATGATTGTAGAGTTGAAGAAGTCGTTGCACGCCGTGTTCTCACAATTCGGAAAGATACTGGATGTGTTAGCATTCAAGACGCTGAAACACAAAGGTCAAGCTTGGGTTATATTCGAGGATGTTAGCTCCGCTACCAATGCTCTTAGGCGAATGCAGGGCTTTCCCTTTTATGACAAGGAGATGGTATATTTGTTTTTGCAATTGGTTCCTTGTTTCTGTCATTGATGGAGACTGCAACAACTTTCCAAGCTCTGGTTTTAATTTGTCAAAATTGTTTTTCCTTGTTTCTGAATAATAGGAAGTATATTATGAAGGTATAGGTGGATTTTCTGGGTATTTGTAATATAAGCCATGTTCTCTATCTGCATAAGGTGCATGGTATTTGCTACTAATATTACTAATAACTAACAAAAGCTATGTTTAAATGTTTGCAGAGAATACAATATGCAAAGACTAAATCAGATATAATTGCAAAAGCAGATGGCACTTTTGTACCCCGAGAGAAGCGGAAGAGGCATGAAGAAAAGGGTACGTTCTGCTTTGCCCCTTATATTCAGTTGAAAATGCTAAAAGTTGAGCATTTAACATTTTTCTTGTTTTATATATGGTTTGGTTCAGTAGTATCGTTGCTGTTGTTGGTAATCAGTTCTTTCCTCTACTATTACTTGGATTGCGAAGCTTGAGTTTATTAAAATCCTTGTTAGAACTTTTCACAACAGATCATTGAAATATTAATGTTGAATTGAATCTTTTTAGAATCTTCATTTAGATGCTTATATTTTAGACTTTCAGTGCTAAGCATGTGGTCTCTCTCTCTCTCTCTCTCTCTGGCCTGTTGCTTATTCTAACATGTGGCATACATTTTCATCTGTTGTGTAGTTCTCTTTCATGTTCTTCTCTTGAGATTAGTATATGTTGTCTCAATGTAGGAGGGAAGAAACGGAAAGAGCAAATTGATCCGAATCAAGCAGCTGGAGGTTTGAATCCAGCTTACGCGGGTGCTTATGGTGCAATACCTCCTGTAAGTGATATGGATATAGTATCTTATCATGGATTGACCATGTTTCTCTCTCTGCGAACTCTGGTTGAATTATCTTTACTTAATCTTGCAATTATGCTATTAGTATGGATTGTTTAGGTTATATATTTCAGTCTTTGGCCACATTTATAACTTTTGAGCTGCTGAATCTGGTTGCTGCAAGAGCATCTTTATTCAACTACATGGGAATTTGCTGTGCTTTGCTGTATTGAAGACTTCTGGCCTATTTGCTTGCTCTGATGAATCTCGGATGCCAAGTGAACTTGACTATTCTATATCATTAGACTCTATGAGACTCGTGATGATCCAAAACACTAACGGTCTAAAATTAGACACTTTTGAGTTGTAATCAAATGAAACATGTTATTTGCTTGAGGGTCTAGTTACACTATTCACTTAAAAATTAGTATCAGTTACATATCAAGAAAAAAGAGAATAAGGTTAAGCAAATAGATATTTCTCGTTAATTTCTCCATCTTTTCCTGCAGCTATCACAATTACCTTACCTGGGTGCTAGACCAATTGTGCCGGAAGCTCCTGCGCCACCAAATAGCATTCTGTTTATTCAGAATCTTCCTCATGATGCGACCACAATGATGCTGCAAATGCTCTTCAATCAATACCCTGGTTTAAAGGATGTTAGAATGGTGGAAACAAAGCCAGGTATTGCCTTCGTGGAGTATGAAAATGAGATGCAATCAACAGTTGCGATGCAGGCACTACAAGGTTTCAAGATGCAGCAAAACCAGATGCTGATTACCTATGCAAAAAAGTAGATGGAAAGCTCGAAATAGTCCTTTTTCTCTTGCATCCAACTTGAGAAGAAGGCCATGTGTATGGAACATGGATGATGGTCAATTAGATAGCTATTGCCATCAAATCTAATAGTTGTTTTGTGACATGTTCTCTTTAACTAGGGCTTCATGTTTATGTTTTAATCTATGGATTATTATTAAACTCTCTATACACTTCTTTAGTTGCTGTTGTTCCTAATCAGAGTAATGAATACATGGATTTTTTTTACCATTTGTCATTGGAAGGTAGAAAGCATAAAACGACTAAATTTAGTACATCAAAGGATTGTATTTACTGTACTTTCTTCAGTTGCACAAGCAGCTGATGTAACACAACTGGTAGTAAAGCTATACCCTAGGTTGGACCAATCTCAAACAAATTATAACCCAAGAGATTAGCATATCATTAATGCTTAATCTTAATCAGCTACACTCTCTCCAGTTCAGTATTGTGTTTAACCAGTTGATCACTCAAATCCTTCTTCCATCCTTGGATCAATCTTTCCTGATTCTTGATGATCTCTGACTTCATTCTCAATTCTTCTTCCATTGTTGCAATCTCCTGTTAGAACAGAACAAGAAACAAGTCAAATTAGGCTTCTTTGGAGTGGCTTAATCATACACAAAAAAGTTGAACGGGTTTACTTTTCTGAGCATTTCAGCCTTAGTTGGCTGATCCTCACGTTGCAGGCCAAGGAAGTATAACTGAAGCTTCTTGGCAGCCTCCATGAAATCTCTGGCATGCCTCTCCACATCAACTGTAGCAATTGCAAATCAAAAAGCCATTTTAAAACACAAGGATTTTAAATTTCTCTGAACTTTTTCTGGGTACTACGTTAGCAAATTAATGCATTCATTCAAGCACATCTGATTCTGAACAGTGAAAAATGTGGAACCAAGTATCAGAATAAGAACAATTATCAAAGACTATACAAGCAACATGGCAGATCATCTTTACTGCTACATATATGAAGAAAACGAAATGGAAACACTGTGGGGATAAAGGAGAGGGTGAGAGCTACTGACTCTGATGAGAAGGGTGGGGAGAACGGTCAATAGCTTGAAGCTCCCTGGCGGGCAAGCATGGCAGCAAAGCAGTCTCCAACGCAACCACCCACGAAACCATGTCATCTTTCGATGAACCCTGAGGCGATTGAATCTGCGGATCCAGCTGAAGCTCTTGTCTTTCACTCATTATTCTTCGCCTAAAAAAGAAGGTTTAATTTCGCTCGCACAAATTCTAGGGTTTGACGTTTTCCCCTTTCGTTTCTTTGTGCAAGACCAAAAGGCTCAAAATTAATCTTTCCTGGACAGGAATCTGTAATTCTCAACGGGCTTTCTCTTTGGATTCGATATAGATTGCTCTCATGGGATAATAGGACAAATGCCCCCTTAAGCTATAGAAAATTTTCTAATGTGGCACATATATTTATAAATGTCATATTTTAATATATTTTTTCTACTGAGAAAAAATTACAGTAGGTAGCAAAGTGACACTGGGCTCTGTCCCTGGGGCTTTCTTTACCTAAAACTCAACACAGAGAGCAACGAACAGTGAGTTCGATTAAAACGAGTCAAATATTTTTATGATTCAAAGTCCATGATAGTTCAAACAAAGAGATTATCATTTCTTTCTTACTCCTCTCGCATCAGGTATGAGCTTTCCTTCAAAAAAAAATCTGTTATATGCATAAAAAGACCTATATTTAATTCCGGGGTTGTTAATTGATTTAGGTGACCGAGCTAAGTGATCAACTCAGTTCGTTTTTATATATTGGAAGGTGAATTCTGATGAACTTACGGGTGGGGATGGATTCTTCAATCTTGATTGAATTCTTGCATTTGCTTTGGGTTTCTTGAGACGGGTTTCCTTCAAAATCCAATCTTTGCTGTTGTTTGTTTATGGGGTTTTGTGTTTTTGTGTCGCCTTTTCTGGTTTGAACACTGCATCGGAGTTCTTGGCAAAAGATTGAACCTGCACCTTGTTCGGGAATTGCGTTACCCCGTTTAGTCCCCTTGTTTCACTGTCTTGATATTCAATTAGGGAAAGCTTTCGTTCCGATTGCAATGGCTACTCCACCACAAGCTTCTCCTTCACCTGATCGGGATAAAAGTCCAATTACTGCTGCTACGACAATTTCACCCGGATCAGCTAGATATACTCCACCAAATTTACAACCAGATATCGCTTCTCCTTCAATGAAGAATCCGATTATGCTATTACCGGAAAATGGGGTCAAAACTGGAAGCCCTATTCCCCATCTGAGTACTCCACCCGGCCCTCCGGTATTTACAATGCCAGTCCGGCCTGCTGCGGTGCCTTTCCGAACGTCCCCTGCAACTCCTCAGCCAGTGGCTTTCTCATCAGGTTCTTCTTTGCCCACATCTTCACCTCCCCATTTTTCAAATGGATCAGTTGAGCTTCAACAACAACTTCCCAGTGCTGTTGATGAATCAGTGCCTGCCGGAGAGTCACCTTGTGTTTTATTCTCAGCTCATAAGGTATCTTTTTGTTCTATGTGGAATGAAGTGAAAACCTGAAATATTTTTATCAGTCAATTTTCTATGCTTTTGATACCCAAGTCTCAATGTTCTTTTTTTGCAATTTGTGATTTGTACATATCATTTCTACACGCTATTTGTTCTTATAACTTATTTCTGCTCCTCTACCATCTATTCTGTATGTTAGGTGTTGAAACACAAGAAACTAGCAAATCTACCTAGTTTAGGCTTTGGAGTATTGGTTTCTCCTGGAAGGGAGACTTCAACAGGTCCTCAAGTGATACAACGTGATCCTCATCGATGCCATAATTGTGGAGCTTATTCAAATCTTTATTCCAACATACTAATTGGCTCTGGCCAATGGCAGTGTGTAATATGCAAAAATCTAAATGGAAGTGAAGGTGAATATGTCGCATTCAACAAGGAAGAGCTCCGTAATTTTCCCGAGCTGTCATCTCCTTTGGTTGATTTTATTCAAACTGGGAATAAGAGACCAAGTTTTGTGCCGGTTACTGATTCCAGAACTTCTGCACCAGTTGTTCTTGTTATAGATGAATGTTTAGATGAACCACATCTTCAGCATTTACAGAGCTCCTTGCATGCATTTGTTGATTCAGTGCCACCAACAACAAGAATAGGAATTATTTTGTATGGTCGTACAGTATCAGTCTATGACTTTTCGGTCGAATCAATAGCATCTGCTGATGTGATTCCAGGTGTCACTTCAACTCAGGAGTCCATGAAAAGTTTGATTTATGGAACCGGTATTTACCTGTCACCAATGCATGCTTCAAAAGAGATTGCACACCTAATATTCTCTTCACTAAGGCCATACAAGTTGAATGTTCCAGAAGTGTCAAGGGATAGGTGCTTGGGTACTGTTGAGGTTGCTATGGCAATTATTCAAGGACCATCTGTAGATATGTCTCGAGGTGTAGTTAAAAGGCCAGGTGGCAATAGTAGGATCATTGTTTGTGCTGGTGGACCAAATACTTATGGTCCTGGGTCTGTCCCGCATTCTTATACTCACCCTAATTATCCTCATAAAGAAAAGACAGCATTGAAATGGATGGAACGTCTTGGTCGTGAGGCTTATCAACAGAACATAGTGGTTGACGTTCTATGTGCTGGGACTTGTCCTGTAATGGTTCCTGTGCTGCAGCCTCTTGCAAATGCTTCAGGAGGTGTGTTGGTTCTTCATGATGACTTTGGTGAAGCCTTTGGTGTAAACTTGCAAAGGGCATCTGCCAGAGCTGCTGGTTCCCATGGTTTGTTGGAGATTCGCTGTTCTGATGATATTCTTGTTACTCAGGTTGTAGGTCCTGGTGAAGAGGCACATATAGACACTCATGAAACCTTTAAAAATGATATTTCTCTATGTATTCAAATGCTGAGTGTTGAAGAAACACAATGCTTCTCAATATCGTTGGAGAATAAACATGACATAAAGAGTGATTACGTATTTTTCCAGTTTGCTATTCAATACTCAAATGTTTATCAAGCTGATATAGCTAGAGTAATTACTATCAGACTGCCAACTGTGGAAAGTGTTTCAGCCTATCTTCAAAGTGTTCAAGATGAAGTGGCTGCAGTCATAATTGCCAAGAGGACTCTATTGCGAGCAAAAAGTTATTCTGATGCAATTGATATGCAGAATACAATAGATGAAAGAGTCAAAGACATTGCTTTAAATTTTGGGTCTCAAATACCAAAGTCAAAGCTTTACCTGTTCCCTAAAGAAGTCTCTTTACTACCTGAGCTTCTATTCCATCTTAGGAGGGGGCCACTGTTAGGAAGTATAGTTGGTCATGAAGATGAGAGGTCTGTACTGCAGAATCTGTTTTTGAATGCGTCCTTTGATCTTTCACTTCGCATGATTGCTGCTCGCTGTCTTATGCATCGGGAAGGAGGCACCTTTGAAGAATTGCCTGCTTATGATCTTGCCATGCAGTCTGATACAGCTGTTGTTCTAGACCATGGTACAGATGTGTTCGTTTGGTTGGTATGTAAATCAACCCGTCTTCTAGCTTTCTCATGTTTTATATGTTGCTATATTTGCTTTCTGGATACTTTTGCTCCTATGTTGCCATCTCTGATTTATGAGTCTGGCATGCTCTTCTGTGTTATAAAGGATCCGGTCTGTTAACATATCTATGCTCTTCATGAAAATCATCTATTCAGGTTGTATAGATATTAGGGCATGGTAGAAAAGTGATGTAGCCTGCCGTAGAGGGAAGGACTGGAACTAAGAAGCTGTTCATGCTTTTGATAAATGCTCAAAGTAAATGTGGCCGTAGCTATGTTGTCCATCTAACACGTTTATATATGTAACTGTGAATGAAATTCTGCACAGTAACCTGTCTCTGTAATATGTATATATAAATTACCAGCGACTATCTGCCCTGGATGTATACATTTTCGTGTTCACTGTTCTTTCACTTGTATTTGTTTGCACGACATGCTTGTGTCCTGAAAGAGACTGATCTGTGGGTTTAAAGCTAGGTTTATATATTTTCCTGGAAATAATATTAAACATCTCCCCGTTAACTGCTGGCTTCAGGGTGCTGAACTCGCAGCTGACGAAGGAAGAAGTGCAGCAGCTTTGGCATCTTGTAGAACATTGGCGGCAGAAATCTCAGAGTTACGATTTCCAGCACCTCGGATCCTTGCATTCAAGGTTCTCTTTTGCCTTGATTGATCCCAACATTCTATTAGCTGTGCATTGTTGTGTTGTGTGTTTATTTTGTTAGCAGTTGACAGAGAATAATCTAACGATCCAATTTCATTTCAGGAGGGGAGCTCTCAGGCTCGGTATTTTGTTTCTCGGCTGATACCAGCACACAAGGATCCTCCGTACGAGCAGGTAAGAGAAAATTAAAAATTAAAAATGTAGAAGCCTGTTGGCTTTTAAACCCTTTGTGACGAATCCATAGCTATTGTGTGACACTGATGCAGGAGGCAAGATTTCCACAGCTTCGGAGCCTGACAACAGAACAGCGGACGAAACTGAAAAGCAGTTTCGTACACTTCGACGATCCGAGCTTCTGCGAATGGATTCGGGGTTTAAAAGTAGTGCCGCCGGAACCAATCTAAGAGATGGTTTAGGTATTTTGCTCTTTGAATTTTGTTCTTCTTTCAGTGAAAGCAGTGTAATCTAACTCATTCATCTCTTTCTTTTTTCAACCATTCTACTCTATTTTTACATTTTTTATAGCTTCAAAGGCTCAATTATACTTATCAACGATTTGGTTCAAGTGGTAAGCAATTTGATTCCGTTTAAGCATGTCTCGAGTTCGAGTAAAGTAACTCATAAAAGTTGAAAATGCTTTGGTAGAGCAGTGCCTGGTGCCATTATTACATAAATTATTATGCCATTCTGTATTTTATTTCTTCGAAAATCAGATTCTAATGCCATTCTTGCAAGTCTTCCACAGGGAAGAGTCGAATTAAGGAAATCAAAGTATATTTTGTTTTGTTATATATTTTTAAAATATTTTAGATAATACAAAATTTGATGTCTTATAATTCCAATAATATATATATATATATATATACACACACATTTTGTACATAAAAGTTTAGGTTAAAAGTAGCTCCTCAATCCAAGGTCAGGGCGTACCTAAGACCTAATGGGATTTATATAGGAATTTAATGATCGTCTACTAAGAGTGATTATAGTAGAATTCAAACTTGATCTTATAAGCTCAAATTCCTAAATTCTCATCGTAACACTCGTTGGCATAATTCCAATAATATAAATATATGATTCTTTCATATGCTAAGAATACACATATAATATATATATTTAT